CAAGGAAGGAAATGTCTCTCACTCTTTACTAAAAGTTTGTGATAGTTATTGGCCAGGAGCTGTTTCTATTTATCTATTGTATTTGTGCTAACCACTCAATCATACCTTAGAAAACTGACATCCAAATCTAAATACTGTTCGTGGAAATTTCACAAGCCTATGGGTTTGTTGTACAAGTAATAATTGTGATGAGAGAGTTATTGTCCCACAGGGAATAAGGTCTAATCCTAGTATATTTGATATGTTTAAATTTATGTTTATAATCAAAAATTGATTTGTGAGTATCTAGTTGAATCTTGGATCTAAACTTGTAAAATCAATGAAATTTTAGTTTAAAAATCAAATGACTCAACGTATTGAATTTCTGATGCCACTAATCAATTCTTAGTTCTAATTCTCAACCAGTAATAATTATCCCAATTCATGCACTTGTGACGACCGATAATTTCACTTTTATTTATTATGCTTTCCCAAGATATAATAAACCTATGATTACCACGAGACGATCATCTTCCTAGTCCAAATTCATATGGCAGACACGCATTGACATTTATCATACATGCCACAAATATTATTCTAACATTTATTGCCTGTGTGTTCAAAAAAAGTGTTCTATCTACCGTGAGTTTTCTAACACTACGAATAAGTAACTTATTTTTCTAATGGTGCGCAAACATTAAAACAATATAAATATGCATGTTAATAGAATCATAATACAAGAATCAAGGTAAAAACAAAAGGTCTTGAATTGAAAACTAAGAATCAATTAGTTATGTCATTCATCCAATGCAAAGGAATTTAGCCTATAATATTAGTGTAAGAATTACAAAGAGAATAAAAGAAAGTCATCACCTGAATGATTAAAGATGAAGAAAATCTGAAAATCTTCAATTTGTGCCTTCAAATCCGGATCCAAGGGATGAATTCTTCGTTCTTCGATTTAAATTCTATCAAAGTTGGTTTACAATCACTTCCTTGCTTCCTTCTTGTGGTCAAAATTATGTATCTTTCTCTCCTCTCTCGTGTTTTGCCCCCTCTTGCTTAAAGAGTAGGTTAAATTCTATTCCCATAAGAGTTTAGGATGAAGATGGAACTGCCCAAAGTTTACCCCGTGCGTGCAGCATACATTTCACCGCGCGCGCCAAATTAAATATTTTCAATTGTTACGCTTTGATCCATCAATTTTGGTCTTCATTCAATTTAACTCCTTTTTTATGTCTTCTTGTTCCTTTAGCTTTTAATTCCATCCTATTGAATTCACACCTTTCCCAATCATTGATATGGGGTCCAAATCAACTATTAGCACTTTGCAATTTAGTCCCCAAACTTTGGATTTCGTCCCTTTTTGCCAATTTTTCACTCCTTTTGTCAACTTCTATCATTTTTCATTGAGATGTACCTAACAAACAAAATATGTACAAAATCTAGCCTCAATTCATTTAAAATAACAATAATTGCTCTAGTTTAACAACCCATATAAGTGTAATAAATACACTAATCAAATACAGTGGTAAATTTCCTAAAGATGGATTGAATGCAAGCATTATAACCATTTACTCTATTATTAAAAATAAATACAATAGTGTTGGTTAACATTTCCCTAACTCTCGAATGTTGGTATATTTTAAGTGTCATCACAATCACCAAGGTTACGACAGAAATAGATAAAGATATGTCGATTCATTTTTTTTGTAGATGAGAGGGGAATTATTGGATTCTATATATCATGCCACTCTTATAAACCTTGTTAGTTTTAGACTACGGATAATTGTATGCTTAAGTATGTACATTTTTAAACTTGAGAGTGCAGTTTTTTTGGGTATTTGAAAGACCTTAAACCACGTCATGAGGTATCTTGGAGTAACAAAGATCTTTTGTGTTACATATTCGATGATCTATGACATTGACTATAGGTCCTTGGTTTTTTGACGTTCCAAAAATCTTGAGAGTTACAAAGATCTTATGTGTTACAATTACTTCATTTATGTCCTCAGTTTATTGATGTTCCAAAAAATAATGCATAATTTCCAACATTTAAATTTACTTGAGTGTGTTTACCCTGATAAAGACGTACATTGTAATATTTTTCATCTATTAATACTTGTATTTTTATGATTAATTGATGCCTAAATATACTTAGTATTCTTATATTTTGATTATGGTTGCAAATGGATGGAAATTGTGGAATTTGGAAGAAAATAGCGAAAATGGAACAAAATGGAAGAAAGTGAAAGCTCAAGGACCAAGCTACAAATAATCCATAGATGAGACGGAAGATGGAATGAAGATTCAAGAGTGTTAGGATCAATCAGATGAGGAAAGAAGTCAAAGAGATGAAATATAATTGAAATATTATCACATATCATCTTTCGGGTGAAAAAGTTATACTCCAGATTTTTAGTCTCTGCTTGAGATCCATTTTTGGCATAGTAAACTTTTGAATTGAAAAATGTCTAATCTTAAAAATTGTAGCTCTTTGTGTTAACTTTCCAATGCACTTTAAATCGTCACAATCGGACATCGAAAGATAAAGTTATGACCAAAATACTAAAAGATGTTCGACGGAGAAAAATGGCTAAGCCATGCGACCACATAGCACAAAAGCCATACGGTCACACAGCCTGCTTCAAAGAATTTATAGGCTGAAGATGCTTGAACCATGCGATCACAAGATCAATAACCATGCAGTCGCATAAAAAATATAAATATGTTTAATTCATATTTTCAGTATCAAATATTCTTCTACGTATAATTTTATGATTGTTACGTTTGATTGCTAAAAAGGTCTATTATTTTATAATGCATTACAATCTATAGCTACGTTAAATATCAAATCCGTAATTATTTGATCCATTTAACTTGTGAATCAACTAGGGTTCGGTGATTTGCTTCGTCAGAAATTATTGAATCTTCGGAATAATGTTTGACTAGCTTAAATGCAACTGCTTGTGCTTGTGTTATCGAGTTCATTGATTTCTCTAATGCATAAGGGTATTATTAAATTAAATCTTAATGCTTGTCTAGGGCCGTTTAATAATTATGGTTAATTAGAGCGCTTCTTCTCTAACTAACTACAATTAAGGATAAATAGGAAATTATTTCCAATGATGAATGCTAAAAACGTGAATTGATAATTACATGTGGGTCAATGACCAATTGTAAATCTCCAAAGGTAGAAGTGTACTTAGATCAAGGTTCGTTCTACTGATTTCATTTAATTCGTTAATTTGCATTGCCATTTATTGTTTTCTTAAAGTTGATTGTGTTACAACCAAAACCCCTCATTTTTGTTAATATAGAATAAAAAGTAGACTAAACACTCTACGTAGGATCGACGCTTACTTCCACTGCTGCATTAGTGTTTTCTTCTACCTCAGGTTGTCTCAAGATGTCCTCTACAACTTGATCCACAAGGAATTTTGCTACCTTAGGACCGTTATAGTTATGACCATCGTTCACCGGGGCTTTAGTCACCGAGGAGTATCGATTTTAATTTAGAGAGTCTATGATAGCACTTTCTAAATTTTGGCGTTGTTGCTGGGAGAGTGATTTAGTTTGTTTTTGTGCTTTTTATTTGTTTATTTCATTCAAAAAAAATACTTTTTGATATTTTTCATTATTTTAATTTTCTAGATTGTTTATGCCCGTAACTCGATCTTTTAATCAAGGTGATTTGTAGTACGATTCGAAAATAGAGAGAACTTTGCGCAGATCAAGAAGTTGCACTCGACGAAATTTCGAGGAATACAATTTCGTTTATAGCCCCCTTTTCGCCAGTGATACTGAGTCAGAGAAAGATGAAGCCATGGTAGGGAATCAAACTTTGAAGGAGCTTACTGCTCTTGATTTGAATCAGCAACCCCTTTGCATAACTTTTCCTACCTTAGATGCTACCACTACTTTTAAATTGAAATCTAGACTAATACATCTCTTACCCACCTTTCATGGTCTTGCAGGTGAAGATTCCCGTAAACATTTAAAGGAATTCCATGTGGCGTTCACGAGTATGAAACCTACGGGAGTAACAAATCAAATTGAGAGCCTTTTCATTTTCTTTAAAGGATTCAGCTATGGACTGGCTCTACTATCTACCATCTGGAAGTGTCACAACATGGGAAGAGATGAAGATGGTGTTATTAGAAAAATAGTTTTTGGCTTCAAGGGCAGCTAACATTCGGAAGGAGATTTGTGGTGTAAAATAGGTCAACAGATAGTCTTCGTATGAATACTGAAATCGTTTTAAGAAGTTGTATGCCAGCTACCCCTATCAACAAATTTGCAAACAACTTCTCATCCAATATTTCTACAAAGGCCTCCTCCCTACTGATAGGAATATGATTGATACTACTAGTGGAGGAGCTTTGGTGGATAAAACACCCGACAGTACAAGGAACTTGTTTGCAAAAAGGGTAGCCAACTCTCAGCAACTTGGTACTAAACTCGACACCCCATCTAAAAATTTTAATGAGGTAAACATTTCCTTCATTGTACAACAACTTGCGTGTCCGACTTCTCTTGTTCACCAAATGGTTGTAGGTAATATGCAAATAGTAAAGGCTTGCGAAACTTTTTTGTTGGTAGGACTCCAACCGATATGTGCCCAACTCTTCAAGAAGATCTCAATGAACAAGTAAATGAAGCAAGTGGTTTTCTTGGACAATCGCAAAAGAATTTAGATCCTTACTCGAACACCTAAACCCAAGATAGAGGAATCATCTTAAGCTCAACTATAACCTAGGATAGAAGAATCATCTTAATCTCAGCTACGGGAATCAACAAGTGAACCGAACTGTGCAACAAAATAGCCCAAATTTCTAGCAAAATAAGCAGTCATACCCTCTTAGACAACAACAAGAGGCCAAATTTCTAACTCTCTCATGTCTTTAGAGGATATTGTTAAGTCTCTTACAACTAACACTTTGCAATTTCAACAGAAAACAAAATAATTTCAACAGGAGACAAGGGCCAGTATTCAAATCTTGGAAAATCAAATGAGTCAAATGGCAACTACAATCAATCCATTGGAATCACAAAGTTTGAGAAAATTACCTTCTCAAATACTGGTAAATCTGAGGGAAAATGCAAATACAATTGTAATAAAGAATGGCAAAGAGGTTGAAATCCTGGTTAAGGCAGCCCCCTCATCATCAGAGCAAGGAAAGGATAAGGATGTCACTTCAAACAAGGGTGCTTCCGACAACGATGATGCTCCCAAACGTAAGTTTCTCCCTCATATATGATTATAAACTAGTACCTCGTTTCCCTAAGGCTTTAGCAGAATCTAAGAAAGATGAACAAAATAAAGAACTATATAAAACTCTCCGTAAATGTGAGGTTAACATTCCATTGTTAGATGCCATTAAACAAGTACCTCGCTATGCTAAATTTTTGAAAGAATTGAGAAAACAGAAACTCAAAGGTGTGAAAAGGTGAAAGTTAGGGAAAATGTCTCTGAAGTCATTCAAAGGAAACTTCCTACAAAATGCAAGGATCTAGGTATGTTTACTATCCCTTGCACGATAGGTGACACTGAGTTTGAGAAGGCCATGTTAGGCTTAAGAGCATTTATAAATGTCATGCCATATTTCATTTATACTTCTTTGAAACTTGGACCTTTAATTAAAATCGGTGTGATAATTCAATTAGCTAATAGATCAAATGCATATCCAAAGGGTATGATTGAGGATGTACTTGTGCAAGTTAATGAATTGGTTTTTTCATGCTAACTTTTACGTGCATGATACGGAAAATGGTAACCAAATTAGCCTTATCTTGTTAGAAAGACCATTTTTGGAAACGTCCAAAACTAAAATAGATGTCCACAGTGGTACACTGCCCATGAAATCTGATGATGAGATAATTAAATTCAATATCTATGATGCCATGAAATTTTCTAGTGATGATAATGTTGTTTATTCTATCGATGTGATTGATTGTTGAGCACATGATGTTTTTGAACTTGATGGAAAGGATGAGTTGGAGGTTGCCATTAGTGAGCATGTTGAAAAAGAGAGTGAGGAGTTTGACTTTGAGCCCTAACTTGTGAGAAACTATTGTAGCATTGAATAATCTTCCAAAGGTACAATAAACAAGTAACGTTTCATATGTTGATTTGCCAGTTTCGAATGAAAAGCCTCTACCTTCTATTTTGTAGGCCTCCCACTCTGGATTTAAAGCATCTCCCCAATCACCTCATATATGTATTCCTTGGAGATGGAAGAACATTACCAGTGGTCATCTCGAATGAATTGAGTACATCGCAGGAAGAAAAACTGGTACAGGTTCTCAAGGAGCATCGAATAGCTATTGGTTGGACAATTGCAAACATCAAGGAAATCAGCCCATCCACATGCATGCATCGCATTTTGCTTGAAGAAAGAGCAAGGTCCTCCCATCAATGTCAAAGAAGATTGAACCCACCCATGATAGATGTCGTGAAGAAGGAAATCCTCAAGCTTTTGGAAGTTGGAGTGATTTATCCTATCTCTGATAGCAATTGGGTCAACCCAGTTCAAGTGGTTCCTAAGAAGACTAGGATAACTGTTGTGAAGAATCAAAACAATGAATTAGTTACCACCCTGCTCAAACTAGGAGGCGGGTTTGTATAGATTATAGGAAAATAAATGCTATAACTCAAAAAGATCATTGTCCTTTGCCTTTTATTGATCAAATGCTTGAAAGATTAGCTAGTCATTCTTACTATTGTTTTCTTGATAGCTATCCAAGTTATTTTCAGATTGCAATTGCCCTAGAGGACCAAGAAAAGACAGTCTTCACATGCCCATTCGGAACCTTTGCATACCGTCGCATACTCTTTAGCTTTTGTAATGCTCCAACCACTTATCAACGATGTATGATAATATATTTTCATATTACATTGAGCAGATAATAGAAATCTTTATGGATGACTTTACAGTCTATGGGGACTCATTTGATAACAGTTTTTATAACTTTGTGTTGGTCCTTAAAAGATGCATGGAAACCAACCTTGAACTAAATTCTGAAAGAAAGTCACTTTATGGTTGAACAAGTATATTTCTAGGACATGTTATCTCATCTAAGGGTATTAAGGTAGATAAAGCCAAAATTGATATTATTCAATCTCTACTTTACCCCCACTATTGTACTAGGAAGTTCGTTCTTTTCTTGGAAATACAGGTTTCTACTACGGATTTATTAAGGACTTTTTCAAAATAGCACTATCCCTATGCCAATTGTTACAAATGGACATGGCTTTAGAGTTTGATGAAACTTGTAAAAAGGTATTTGATAAACTCAAGGAGATATTGACTTCTGCGCCAATTATCCAACCTCATGACTGGAACTTTCCCTTTGAGATAATGTGTGATGCAAGAAACTTTACAATGGTTGCAGTGTTGGGTCAAAGAATTGGAAATTCTTTACATGGTTTCCAGGACTCTAAATGATGCCTAGATAAACCACTCTACAACTGAAAAATAACTTTTAGCTACTGTTTTTGCTTAGAGAACTTTTTGGTACCTTCCTTCTCGATCTTATATGTGGTTTCTAGCATATACGAGATCTCTTCTGCTGATGTAGTATTGGTGTAGAGATCATATAAATGATCTAACAACGCATTTAGGATATGACCACAACATATTAATTCGTCCTCTTCCCATTTCTTTCCTTCTACACGCATTTCTTCAGTATCTTTGTCTGTTGCATCGGGAATAGACACCAATCTCGGATCAATTAGAAGATCTTTAATGCTGTTAGAAGGAACTCGAATTTGTCTTGCCATCTTGGGAAATTTGCACCATCGAATCTGTCCAAGCGTACCAAATCCTGATCCATCATTTTTATAGTAGCAAGTGTAGATTCCTTCTCCATCGTAGTAAAAATGATCAAATAACATTTGAAATTTTGGAAAATATGTTAATGGAGAACAAAAATGAAACCAAACAAAAAGGAAAAAGATAAATAATATCAATGAAGGCTTGAACACGAAATTAATCTCGATGTCCTCAAAAATTATTTGCCTATTTTGCAATGCTTTTAAGGATTTCCGACAAATAGTTCGTAGGATTAACTAAGTCTTAATGAAGAACACTAAAAGCAAAAGTTTTTTTCAAGTGAGCAAGAGAAAAGAATGCAGATGATTATGTGAAGAAACAAAAGATCAATATGTTATGGCCGAATCAAGAAATAAATTTCATATGATATTCATTGCATTTTCTTAAACTTTGATTACCTACTTATAGGCCATGACAAGTACTCACGAAGTGGTGTCAAAATTGGTTGAAAGGCCACCAATTTTAAATAAACAAGGGGTCAAAAATCGGCCCAATAACGGTCACTTTTTGTAACTATGTGACCGCATGGTTATAACCCCGATCGCCAATAAACTTTTGTTAGGGCGCATAGGCATTTTTATGGCACTTCTTAATTTCTTTTTCTTTTTATTTTATTATTTTTATTTTTATTATTTATTTATTTATTTATTTATTGTGGGCCAAGTAATTCATCCAACCATGAGATTTTGAACAACAAAATTTCTAGCAGCTGTAAGATTAGCATTGAAATTGACTACATATAACAGAGTTGGGATGTACCTAGCCATTACATAAATTCAACCTGTAAAGAATGGGGGAGTCTAAATTATCGAAAAACCTGATTGATTTCCTTTTAACTATCCACTAGAGATTCAACAACATTTTGAACCGTAGGAATTGTAGTAGACGTTCAAAAATCCTATTTCACAATTAGCTTAGCTCTTGCATGTCCTTGAGATATTTGGAATTGCTCGGTGATGCCTAAATGTGCCATCAAAAGCCAAACATGAGTGAGAAACTCTCCACCCTTTCGAAGCTGGCGAGCATGGTGATTCCCTCTACAATGAGTAGCTGCATATGCCAGCATCTCCACCCACACTTCACTTATTATCTTCCATTTGTTTTCCTTTTCTGCTAGCAAAGACTTAGCAATCACGCAGGCATCAAACAAAACAGATTTGCTCCTGTCCCCCTTCACTTTAGCCGGTCGCACTTCTGTGTTCACTTGAAGCAACTTCTCGCAGGCTTCAGTTTTGCCATTTTTCAGATTTCTTTCTCCCAGAAACTCTCTGGCTTCAGCGCATGTATCACGGAACCTGATCATTCCGATCCCTATCGGCAGCATGAAAGGACATGACACGAGAAGATACAACAAATAGTTTGATATGTGCTTGCTATGATCTGCTTTCTTCTCTATATCTGTCAAAGGGGTACTCACATTATTGAGATTGCCACCCCAGTCCCGACAATAGCAGATGTCAGTAGCGATGTGCCACAAAAGAATTATCCGATCAAATTCTACTTTTCTCTGATCAAATTCTCCTTCATCAGTCATACCCTGTGAGAAATTGCGGCACTTTTCCAGGGTAAAACTTCCCCGTTGGTTCCTCGAATCTGCATTCAATTCACAAAATATTAGATCTTCTAACTCTGAAGAGACGTCCACATAAGTCTTGTGCCGGTGCTTTTCTAGTAAATTATCTATCTGAAGAAGCTTCTGGATACGCCGAAGAACCTTTTGCATTCTTAAACACACTCCTTGGTTGTCCCTGAGACAAAGATCTAGTAAATTGTGTTGAGCCATTTTCTTGGACCACCTTCGCTTATTTGCTTGCCTTTTAAACCACCAGTCAATAAGAGATGTACAAGTACGCTTATTTGCTTGCCTTTTACACCACCAGTCAATAAGAGATGTACAAGTACGCTTATTTGCTTGCCTTTTACACCACCAGTCAACAAGAGATGTACAAGTACTCACACGTCTGCTCAGCCAATTAGCAGTCCAATCCGAATTTAGCAAAACAAACACAGAATATATTTCGAGGCAAATTGCCACAGACAACAACAAGTAAGTAACTGCCAAGTCAAACATCTGGTACTTTCTCTTGTCGCACAGAAAGAGAAAAGCCAATAGTGCAAAGCTAGTCAACAAAAATGTTACAAGACGAAGGGCAATGGCTCCCAAATTAGACACCTGGGAAGTCTTTGTGTAAAGCACATCAAATATGAATCCAAGTTCAATCTCGACTGCATGAAAAGCATTTCCGGGAGTTGATTGCTGGAGACATGACCGACTTTTGTCTAGATCTTGAAAACTCAGTATGATATCAGCGAAGAGACGCTTAAAGGTCTGGAAAAGATTATATGCTTCTGGTATTAGATTTTTCTGATCTAGAGGAGATTGACCAATTTGAACTGGGTTTTCTATAACCTCAGCCGCCTCCACATAAAATCCCTCAGCTTTCTTCAGTGTGAATTCCTCCATGAATTTAGCATAGTTGGGTCCTGAGTCAGGCTCTGTGAGCATTGAGTCCCGGAAATTCTCACTGTGCGCTGACCTTAGTGCCCATATTCGCTCTCCACACTTAATTACACCAACCATAAAAATAAGTACGCTTAAATTCGGAAGCCAAGAAGAACCTGGAAAAGCCACCAGTAATATGTAGAAAGCCAATCCAGTCTGAATCACCATTCCCACAAAATGCCTCAACCAAAGCTCATTATCTTCTTGAGAATATGCTGTAATGGAATCAGAGCCACCAAGATGCACCAGGAAAAATTGAGCCCAGAACCAAAACAACTGATCCTCAGCATTTCTTCCTTCCGTATATTCATCAATAGTATTTTTTGATATGACGCCGAGCGCCACAGTTGCAACCCAGTCTGCCAACAAATAAGCAGACCAAAGAATGATTCTTATCCAAATCTTACAAATATACTTCCTGCGATTGCCCAACATGACTAGTAAAATTTGTAGGGTAATGCTGAAGAGAATCAGTACCCTTACTTCCCATTCTTTCATAAAATTTACCACACTGACTGGAATTATATCTATAAGCCTCCTCTTCTCCACGAAAATCAAAGCACTTGATACTATCAAAATAAATATGAAAAAAGTGGTGTCATTCGATTTGATTATAACTAAACTTTTCTTGCTTCTACTCGAATAGAAATGGCAGATAATTCATTTAGCTACAAGAATTAGAAAAAAAAGTTACAGAAATTCAATGGTTAATGCATACCTGTTGAAAGCAACATTGAATTGTGTAACCCAAAAACAAGCAGAGAATATATGCCTCAATAAACTTAAGAATTCACAAGTGAACACGGTAGGATAAAAAGTGAGAAGAAACTATGAATATATAAGAACATTGACCTTGACTTTGTCTTAGAGGGACAAATTGGAATGAATCAAAGCATAAATTTATTTTTTGTTGACGGTTTCGTGCGCTCAAGAAATCTTCCTGAGCATTTTTTTTTCCCAGTTATTACCAGGAACCTACGACCACGTCTACGAAGTAGGCAAGGTAGGGGATTTGTTTAAAAAGCCTAGTCAAAAATAATATTTTGTAAAATAGGCTATGATCAATACTTTTTGGTTAACTAGCCTTTGGTCTATTTTGTCATGTGTTAAAAGTCTTAAAAACCCTTCATTTGAAATATTCAAAATATCCAATCTGACACAAAAATTTACCAAATCCCCTAAACTTAAATGCTCATTTTCATTCTAACTTTTCGTACACAATTTAGAACCAATGGGAAAAATGACATACTGCCTTTTAAACGATTGAATGCCGTTTTAACTAATTTCATGTTTGTATCATTTTATATTTCTTCGTATCCACATAAAAATTAAATAAAACAAGTTTTAAGTATATTTCGAGTGCTATTGAGTGTTCGTGATCCAAAACGACATGCTGTCATTATACACCATTTGGTAACGTTTTAACTAAAGTAAACAATTTTTCACTAATTTATAGTGAAATTAAGACCCCATAATCCAAAATGTCATGCTGTCGTTTTAAATGATTGGGTGTCATTTCAACTAATTTTGTATCTACCTCACTTTATTTTCACTTATATGCACATGACAATAAACGAGTGGAAGTTTTTATTACATTTGGACCCGAGCAACGACATAAAGTTCACAAAATAATGATCAATACTACTATTTTGTGAATAAACTGAATTAGATATAACTATGAATGTAAGTAAGTTAATTCTGACTATAATCTAATTATGAGATAAGATATTCAATTAATTGCCTTGTTTAACTTTTACCAGTCCAGTCCGAAAATCCTCTTCGTGATTTCCAAGAAGTGACAAAGAAACAATAGTAGAAAGGAGTGTAGGATTGGTATGGGTCGCGCACGGGCTGCCCCAGCTCCCAACTCATCTAGAGAATGAATTGGGCCCAAGTCTTTTAAGATGTTCCAAGTTTGATCGACTTGTTTTGTAGTGATATCAAGTCCTCGTCATCCAGAATAACATGATGTCTTTAAAAGGCTAAATAATTTAAATTCCAATTATGAGATAAAATACTCCACAAATTAGCTCGTTTAAATTGTTTAAGTCTTATATAATGTTCCAAGACATGATTGATTCGTTTTGGAGTGAAATTGAAACCCTATGATCCAAAATGTCATGATGCCGTTTTAAATGATTGGTTGTCGTTTTTACTAATTTCGTATCTGCTTCACTTTATTTTTCACTTGTATGCACATGAAAATGAACGAATGGAAGTTTTCATTACATTTATCCTAAGTATCGACATAAAGTTCACACAATAATGACTAACACTATTGTTCCATGAGTAAACTATATTAGATTTAAGGAAAAATTATTGTCGAGGTACCAAACCTTTCGTTTATTAGCAGACTTTGCCCAAACCTTTAAAAAATGAACAGGGTCAGTCCAAAATGACAGTTTTTGTTTGTTTGACCGCCAAAACCGTCAGTTGACCCCTCCATATTTTCAAGAATTTTCTCCAAATAAGTGAAGGGCAATCTGGGCATTACACACATTTCCCTCCTCAACATCAAACACGTCAGTTGTAATTTCATTCCACTCACCATCTACTATAGACCCTAAGAAAACCCACGAAGAAGACGAAACATACGTGAAAAAAAGACGAACATCCAGTGGACATTGCAGCCCACATTCGAGGCTCTCTTTCCCAACCCATGTATGGTAAGTGTGTTTCCCTTTTTTCGATTTACGGTGTGAAGATCAGTGATTATGAAGTTCCCCTGAAATTCAAAAATTTCAAGTGACTTGGTGTATTAGAGCGTAATGCTTGTGTACTCTCTTTTCTGCACATCTTCGTTACTCAAACTGAAAAGGGCTAGGGCTTAACTTTACTTTTTTCTTTGTTTTTTTAAGGGAAAATTCAAAGTATTTCAGCATACAGCTTCATCATGGTGGAATTTTGTTTCGGAAGATGAGAAATTTTGTGCATGAGCATGGGAAAATAAGTTATATAGACTATATCAACCCTGATTTTTTCAATAGATTTCTTTTGGACAATGCCGTGAAAATGTTAGGATATTCTGATAGAATTAGATATCTATACAAGATGGAGAAGAAAAGAATGAGTGAAGCTTCATTTTGGTTGGTTAAAGACTCAGATTTCATGAACTTAGTGAAGTGGCTTGGTGATAATAGGACAGCTGAACTGTATTGCTTGCCTGTAGTTGAGGTTTTGGAGTTGCCTTGGGATGAAATAGAACAAAAGGATGTTCAAATATTTGATTGTGAGACTGGTGAGGAGTTGGTGAAGGTTCAAAAGTTTGGAGAACATGATGAAGCATTGAATGAACAGCAAGCATGCTATGCTATTGAGATTTTTGATGAATCAGTAGAAGGTGATGACTTGTACGTAGTTGATGAAGTAGATGACATGGAAGCAGATTAAGAGGAAGTTATCCTTACAGGGGATGACGTCGAAGAGTTTACAATGCATGGAACAGAGCATGAGTATACAGAGGTTGATTTTATAGGAGCTGAAGTAGACTCACATGAACCAGAAGTGCATGTTGTTGAACTAGAGAAACCACATGATGTTGAACCACAGTTGAGGTCTGAACATGAGTTGCATGACACCAAAGCAGAGGTGCAAGCTGCTGAAACTGATGTGCATGCTTCTAAACCACAGCAACAGGCTCAGCATTATGTGCATGCTGTTGAACAAGAGGTGTAGGCTGCTGAAAATTATGTGCATGACGTCGAAGCAGAGGTGCAGGGTGCTGAAATTGATCCCCATGCTTCTATGTTCATTTCTGCTAGGGATGAAATTCGACAACGTCAATATTCTAAGGAATGCAATAGTTCAATACTCAGTCAAAAATTCTAGGCAACTGAGATACGTGAAAAATATGAGGATACAGTTGAGAGTTCAATGTCAAGATATTTGTCCTTGGGTTTTGTATGCGTACCAACAACCAGACAAGAGCCTTAGAATTAACACATTGATAGATGAGCACACATGGACCATAGTATGGAAAAATAAAAGGGTTAATTTAGGTTTTCTAGTAAAGAAATACGTAAGAAAATTTAGGTCTGATCCCAACGTTCCAATGAGTAGTTTTATGGAGACTGTGAAAGAGGACTGCATGTATGAGATTTTAAAACATCAGTTCTACAGGACAAGATCGAAATGTGCAGAAGTTATTAATGGGATTATAGTTGAGCAGTACAAAATTTTATGGGATTACAGTGAGGAATTGAATAGAACAAGTCCAGGCAGTACAGTGGAGATCGAAGGTTTGATTCAAACTTTTAAGAGATTGCACATCTACTTAAGGGCTTGTAAGGAAGGGTTTAGGGCTGAGTGTAGGCCAGTTGTTGGGTTGGATGGATGCTTCGTAAAATGTGTAGAAGGTAGGCAGTCGTTGGCAGCTGTTGGCATCGATGGTGAGAACTGTATGTTTCTGTTAGCATGGGCAGTTGTGTATGTGGAGAACAAATCAAACTGGCAATGGTTCATAGAATTGTTGGTTCATGACATAGGGATGCACAACCCTCGAGCTTGGATATTCATTTCTGACAAACAAAAGGGTTTGGTGGATTTCATAAGTCAATACTATGAAGGAACGGAGCATAGGTGTTGTGCTAGATATCTTTATAGAAATTTCACCATGGCACACAAAGGTCTGGCCCTTAAGAACCTATTTTGGACTACAGCAGTGGCAGAGTGAACGAGTGCAATGAATGAGTTCAAAGACATAAGTGAAGAGACTTACAACTGGTTCCTTGAAAACCTTCTTCCCAGTGGACCAGATCCCATTTTGAAGAGCATTCGAGATGTGATATTCTTCTTAATTATTTGTGTAAAGCATTCAATTCTTCCATTGTTGTTGACAAAGAGACAAGCCCATCATCTCGATGCTAAAGAAAATTCGGCATCAGCAAATGATAAGGATAAATGCAAAAAGGAAAGCAACACAGAGGTGGGATCATGCATTCGGGCCAAGAATTGTGAAAATCATTGAGAAGGCTAAGTCTGAGGCAAGGTACTTGAAAGCAAACTATGCAAGCAACCATAAATTTAAAATAAGTAGCAGAGACGATTTGAGGTGGAGCGTTGACTTGACAAAACATGCATGTGCATGCAGAAAATGGCAGCTCACTGGAATACCATGTCCCCATACAATATCAGGCATGCTTTCAAGGGATATTGGCATATATGAGTACATCGACCTATGGTATAACAAGGAAACATACCTCAAGTGTTACTCCCCAGTGATCCACCCGATATGAGGCCAGAATTGGGAAAGCGTCCTCTCTATCAATCACAGAAGAGAAAATAGGCTGGCAGACCCAAAAAAATGAGGAAGAGGTCACAGGAGTTAAGATGGGAATGACTGGCATGAAGATGACTTGTAAATGCTATGGAAGGTCCGAACATAACAAAAGAAGTTGTAAGGGACCACTGCCTGGTGAAGATAGTTCACAGCAACAGTCTCAACCAACCACACAAACAGAGTCCCAAAAAGATATACAGACCAGATCAGTGAAGGAGAAGAGAAAAAGCACATTCAACGGAAACCTCCAAGTCATAGACAAAGAAGTCCAACAATAAATGATCGAAATCTTGAATATCATGTAGTTTCTCTTGTATAGTTACTTTTTTGGGAAAATGCTGTGGTTTTTTGTAAACTAAACTGGAAATATGTGCTTCCAATGCTATTATTTTGTAGATGTAACTGGAATTTCTGATGAAATTGTTGAATGTGATGATAATGTTGATGTCAAATTTCTTGCATTATGTTTCTGTTGGTTTTCGTTAGTTTCTGAAATTGTATTCGTAAGATCTAATGTGCAGGCAATTAGGAAATATATGAAAACATTTGATACTTCATCTGAAAGTATTATCAAACGTTTGCTACATTTACTAAAATGTTTTTAAAGGTTTGGTATTCTATCTGAAACCATTGGAAAAGATTTGGTACTGATTCTGTGAATCGTTATAAGGTTTGGTACATATGCTACACCTTTTGCAAAAAAGTTTGGAGTGCAATCAGCTCTTTTATTTTCGTATTTTACATAGACGCCAGGAAAAGATCATTATTACCTATTAAGGTAACATTAAGTACTGGAAAAAGGGGGTACTTCATTTCAAGTAAAAAGATACGGCACAATTTTTTTTTCTTTTACATATGCATTTTCACAACATCTAGTACATGGCTCCATGCCGAAACCCTAAACTCAAATTTCTGGAACTAAATACTGACATCCTACAATCTGACCCTACATACCTAAGAACAAACCCATTTTGCAAATGCTCCACACACAAATTCGAAGAGCCAAATCTTCCACATGTTTGGTCTTGTTGCTTGAAGGGTGTTGATTTCAACTTCCATTTCCCTCCTAGCTCATAACTAGGAATCAGTTCCTTCGATCTCTCCCATATTGGAGGGTCACACCACATAAAGAAGGTGCATCCACCCCTATCTTGGCTTCGAGGACAAGTTAAAAATCTTTTCCCGGGTTCAGGTTTGTCCAGGAGGTCTTCATCTGCACCGGGGAACCACATCTGCATACATTCAATCCATGTACGTGCTGATTTTTTTTACGACCTGTGAGAGAGAAGGTAAGAGGTAATATAGTGGTACAGAAATTGAGGGAAATAAACTGTGAAGTATATAATATGAGGGAAATGTATATAATACCTAGATTGTCCTTCACTTATTTGAGTAAAATTCTTGAAAATATCATTAGAGGGGTCAACTGACGGTTTTAGCGATCAAATAGACAAAAATCGTCATTTTGGACTGGCTCTTCTCATTTTTTAAAGGTTTGGTATCTCCGGTGGCAAATTCTGCTAATAAACAAAAAGCAAAGTCTGCTAATAAACTAAAGGTTTGGTACTTCGACTGCAATTTTCCCTAGATTTAACTATGAATGAAAGTAAGTAAATTCCATTATGTTCTAATTATGAGATAAGATATTCAACAAGTTGGTTCGTTTAACTTGTATAAGTCGTCTAAAATATTTCAAGTCTTATCGACTCGTTTTAGATTAAAATCAAGGCCCGTGACCTAAAACGGCATGATATCAACGAAAAGGTTATGTGTTGTTTCAACTATTTTTGTATTCATTTCACTTTATAGTCACTTGTATCCATATAAAATGAATGAATGCAAGTTTTTACTACATTTGGATATCGAGAACTCGAAATCTAAAACACTACCTTTTTAAATGAATGGGTGTCGCTTCAACTAATTTCATATCCGCTTCACTTTATTTTCACGCATATGCACATGACAATAGCGAATGGAAGTTTTTATCACATTTGGACTTGAATATCGATATAAAGTTCACGCAATAGTGACAAACAATATTGTTTCATAAGAAAATTACACTAGACTTTACTGCAAACGAAAATAAAAAACTCCAATTCCGTTATATCTTATTATGAGTTAAAATTCTCAGTAAATTAGTTTGTTTAGCTTATAAAAGTCTTTGTTTTGAATTATTCACGTCCATAAACACTTCAAAGTTTAAGGATGAAAATTTCATCTACATTTCAACATTATCATCGAGACATTGATTCAAATTATAGCAAGCCACTCTGTAATCCGATTGGAAACTACATTACACTACACTTGACAATAATGAAAAACGTAAGTAACAAATATGGTATGCAACACATAGCACGTGAAGTCTTTTAATGTGTACAAGTCATGTATGATATTTCAAACACTGTTTTACTAGTTTCAGAGTGAAATCGATACCTCGTGAATCAAAAAGAATATGATCGTTTTAAACGTATGAGTAACGTTTCCACTCATTTTGCGTTCGTTTTGGTTTATTCATGCCCGTAACCATTTGAAAGTTTAAGGATGAAAGTTTTAACTACGTTTCGTCGACACATTGGTTCAAATTATAACGAGTCACTCTATAATCGGTTAGAAAATATATTACACTACACTTGACAATAAAGAAAAAGATAGGTTGCAAATATGGTATATAAAACATAGCATGTGTAGTTGTTCAATGTGTACAAGACACGTATGATGTTTCAAATACTATTTTACTAGTTTCAGAGTGAAATCGATACCTCGAGACCCAACAAGGCATTTGGTCGTTTTAAATGTTTGAGTGATGTTTCTACTCATTTCGTGTTCATTTCGATTTATTCATGCCTGTAACCACTTCAAAGTATAAGGATGAAAGTTTTAGCTATATTTCATCGACACATTGATTCAAACTATAGTGATTCCCACTATAATTCGGATTAAAACTACACTACTCTACACTTGACAATAAAGAAAAATGTAAGTAGAAAGTGTGGTATGCAAAACATAGTACATGTAGTCGTTCAATATATATAAGTCATGTATGATGTTTCAGATACTATTTTATTAATTTCGGACTGAAACTAATATCTTGTGACCCAAATATGGTTTTCGTTTAGGGTTTTATTTATAATTATTATTATTATTATTTAGCAAATACCACTAGTGTGGTTTATTTTATATAATGAAAAGCGAGAATACAAATAAAGGAGAGGGCATAGACCTGACCTCCAGCAAATGTAAATTGCAACAAATATCTCAAGATAAAATGAAATCACAATAAACAAGACACGAACAAAAACTAGTGAAAGCTACTCAAGGGTATTCCCAAGGGTAAATCTTCGGGTGGTAGTACATAGGCATTGATCGGGTCATGCGTCTGGTCTGAAACATTTTTGGATCATAGTAGTATGCGTTGTTTGGCTTGCTCGTTTGAGAGGGGTCTCTCTTGCGTGAAGGAGCCTTCAAAGGTGAAAAGTATTGTTCGGGTGGTGGTGCACTGAATGTCGGGCGAAAAGCGAGTGCGTCTGATCTCATGGTACTAGTCGCAGGTGCGTCTAATCTCATTGTGCTCTGTGCTACAACATTTGAATCATTAGAGATGGACATGTCGACTGTAGGGACATCGTCCTCTACATTTTGCACGCAGTCTCCAAGGCCCATGCCATCCATGTCTATCTGTATATGTTCTTTCACCTTATTTTGTGTAGGAGCAATGATAGAAGGACCTAGTAAAGGTGTATGTGTAGGAGTCTTACTCACAGAAGGTCCCTCAACAAAGAGCTTAAAAACTAAGTCCTCAATAGCAATCTCATGGTAGATCCAACTTTCATTCCATGGTCTTTCTTAAATGATCAATCAACTTATACTTGACACCATGTCGCTCTGAGCTGATCTTAGCCAACAACTTCCATGCAAGAGTGGTATGAGGAACTGTCCCGGTACTTGATCCCTATGCTAACTGAGTACCATTTGTGTGTGTCTTCAATGGTGGAGAAAGTAGCCGTGGGAATAGGATATAAAAAATATCAAATATATAATCATTAAACATGTATAAGTGAAATTCTAACCCTACTACTCAGAATGACATGTGATCATTTTACAAGTATGACTGTCGTTTAGGGTATATAAAACATAGAACATTTCGAACTGAAATCAATCCGCTACCTAAAATGGCACGTGAAAATTTGAACAATACGTTGAATATATAGTTCACATAAATATGAAATCGAGATTCTATTGCCCAAAACGATATGTAATCACTTTAGATGTACGGGTATCATTTATACTAATTTCATGTTCATTTTTACTCGTTATTACTTGAAAGTTTAATGAGAATTTTGACTAGATTTTGATGTCACGATCTACACAATGTTCAAATGATAGTGAGTAACATT